AATATGAATGTCTGCATTCCTGGTCACTTTTCTGGCACCCCAGAGAACTGTTTTATCTTCTAGCTCTTCTTACTCCTTAGTTCATATATTTTAGCATCTGCAGCTCATCAGCCCCATTACTGTTTTTAACCTCTACCAAATCCTGTTCAGGCTACTCCTGCCCCTACACCCCACTCATTGAAACTACCCTGGCCAAGGCATCTGGAAGGTGAGTCCCCCACAATGTGTGTGGCTGGCACTGCTGTAGCTGCCGCAGCCTGCAGCCAGAGCGACCACACTGCAGACTCTACTACAAACCGCCATTACTGCCTTCCACTGCTCTCTTCCTTCTGCTCTGTGCTTGTCTGCGTATTTCATCTGCTTCTTTTTCCCAATTCTGGCTTTTAGGGAAGAAACCTGAACTTTTTTTTTTCCGAAGATTTTATTTATTTATTTGAGAGAGCAAGCGAGCGAGCGAGAGCACAAGCAGGGGGAGCGGCAGACAGAGGGAGAAGCAGGCTCGCCACTGAGCAGGGAGCCCGATGTGGGGCTCGATCCCAGGACCCTGGGATCATGACCTGAGCCAAAGGCAGACGCTTAACCCACTGAGCCACCCAGGAGCCCCAAGAAACCTGAACTTTTACAGACAACTCTTGAGAGGGTCCCTTGAGGTCTGAAAATGTTCTACAAGCTAAAGATCCCAAGAGGCTTAACTTGTTATAATTATAGAATTATAGCCTTACAAGGGAAAAAATAATGATGGGTGAGGAAAAAAGTTGAAAACAATTTAAGGTTTTATTTTGTTTTGTTCTGCAACAAGGTGTAGAATCTCTCCTTCAGAGGGAGCATAGGCCAGTAGTAGGTAGGCAGCTACAGGAGTGTAGGTAAGCCTGCATTCCAGTCTTTGCCCCGGCACTAATAGCTGTCTGACCTTGAACTTGCTTACACACACCTTCCTTTTATTTCTTACATCTATAAAGTGAAAACAGAACTATCCACCTGCAGGGCAGGTACACAAAGAAAATGGAGGGGCGCCTAGGTAGCTCAGTCCGTTAAGCATCTGACTCTTGATTTCAGCTCGTTATGATCTCAGGATTGTAAGATCAAGCCCTGCGTCCAGCTCCACGCTCGGTGTGGAGCCTACTTAAGACGCTCCCTCTCCCTCTGCCCCTCCCAGCCTCCCTCTCTAAAGGAAAAAAGAAAAAATTTTTTTAATTTAAAATTTTAAAAATAAAAAGCAAATGGAGCTAGTACATGTAGAGTGCCTGGCATCGCACCTGGCACACAGTAACTCCTCAAAACAAGTTAACAACCTGCTAAAGGCAGAAATTTCATCCACTGGTAGAAATCTCATCCATTTGTATCGTGGTCACAATCAATCTTGTTCCCTATACTCTTACTTTACCTAGATTCCCTATTTCCTTTCATCTTTCTCTACTATTCACTTTTAAAATTGCTTTCGCTTTGGGGAACCTACGTGGCTCAGGCGGTTAGGCGTCTAATTCTTGGTTTCTGCTCAGGTCATGATCTCAGGGTCAAGAGATCGAGCCCCGCATTGGGTTCCACACTCAGTGGGGAGTCTGCTTGAGTTTCTCTCTCTCCCTCTACCCGCACCCCAGTTCATGCTCGCACTAGCTCGCTCTCTAAAAAAATAAATAAATCTTTAAAAATAAATAGCTTTTGCTTTTAAATGGTGTGATAAACAATAGTTATAGCAGGAATGATTATAAAAACCACAGGCAGTCTGTATATACTTCACTGATAAATACAGGCCCAAGTTATAACTCCAAAGCATAAAGACTGCAAAACTAACTTACCATTAATATGTACAGAAGACAAAACCGTATTATACCTACAGTCATATATAGATATCCAATATAAGATTTTTTTCATGTAAACTAGGAAATAGACCCTAATAAATATTTGTTATTTCTAAAAGTAAAACTGTATTTCAAATGAGCTTGATGTGAGCAGCAAGGAGATTAAGCCTCTTTCCAAAAGTTTCTCTCATATATGGAAATATATATAAACAATTCCATTAAAATTGGCAAAGAATTATTTATGACTAGTAAGTAAAGTGGTAAACAACAGGAATTCAGAGATGAATAAGTAAAGGTCCTTGACATGACACGTAATTATAAGGCCAGAAAAGAATGCCAAAGCAGGGAGGGGAAGAGTAGTAAAAGAAATCTTGCTCTTTGACTAGAATGCTCTTCTCCCATGGCATCTCAGCTTAAAGGTCACCCATTCAGAGAGATTTTTGGGTACTACCTTCTCTAAAAAGGCCACCCAGTTACCTTTTGGCACAGCATTTCTCAAATTTAGGGAGCTCAGAACCAAACAATGAGTATGTGAAGAACTAAATAAAAAGCTAAGAAAATATACACAGGATTCAAACAAATATGCCATAAGTATGTTGGGAACTGTGCATCCACAAGAACAGAATACTCTTTGGTTGGCAAATTAGCATATCACATACTGTGCTTCAATATGGTACCTCAGGAATTCTATAACAGTATCTTTAGATAAGGTCCAGTCCAAAAACAAAACCCCAGCAATCATCTCATTATTTCTGCTTCTTTGCCCATTTTAGAAAGGATGCACTTAAAAGTTTAATTTTAGAATGTATCTGAGGCAATAAGAATGACTAACTATATGTAACAGTGATAATTAATGTACTTCATTTAATCTGACAAAATCTTCCATCTATTACTTTCACTAGAACAACAACAAAAATCCTTCCTACTGAATTCTAAGTTTAGATGTTATACACAAATAAATAGATGAAATTCAACCTTAAGAGATCACAAAGTTACTATAAATTAAAAATAGCACTGCAACCTAAAAACACAGGAAGTTTCTCAATGTGCACTTTCTATATTTATTTCCAGAATTCCAAGTTTTAATTCAGCAACTTCTCTCACCTACTGAATAGTTAACAAGCATCTACTGAAAGCTTCGGTGATACAAAAGAATTAAAAAGCATGATTTCTGCCTTCTACTCATGTACAAATTGGGTGACAATCAAACAGATGGCAGATAAAAATGTGATACAGCCATACCATGGACTTTATCAGACTTAGAAAGCAATGAGATTTTGACATACACTACAACATGGATGAAGCTTGAGGACATTATGCTCAAATAAGCCAGACACAAAAGGTAAAATATTCTATGATTCCATTTATAAGAGTTACCTAGAATAGGCAAATTCATAAAGACAGACAGTAAAACACACCTTACCAGGGGTATGGGTGGCAGTGACAGAGAGTTACTGTTTAATGGGTGCAAAGTTTCAGTTTGGGATGATGAAACATCTCTAGACATAAATAGCAGAGATAGCCGCACACTATAAATGTACTTAATGCCATTGAATTGTACACTTAAAAATGGTGAAAAGGGGTGCACCTGGGTGGCTCAGTCAGTTGAGTGTCTGACTAGTGATCTGGGCTCAGGTCATGATCTCAGGGTCCTGGGATCAAGCCCTGCTTCAGGCTCCACGCTCAGCAGCAGGGAGCATGCTTGGGATTCTCTCTCTCCCTCTGTTCCTCCCTCCCCCGCCAGGCCGCCCGTTAAGGCACTCACTCACCCTCTCTCAAAAATTTTTTAGATTTTTTTTTAAAGATTTTATTTATTTATTTGAGATAGAGCGGAGAGGGAGAGCGCAGAGGGGTGAGAGGCAGAGGGAGAGGTCGAGAAGCAGGCTCCCCACTGAGCAGGGAGCCCAAAGCAGGGCTCAATCCTAGGACCCCAGGATCATGACCTGAGCTGAAAGCAGATGCTTAACCGACTGAGCCACCCAGGTGCTCCTCAAATTTTTTTTTAAATGGTGAAAAGGGCCCCATATATACTAAAATTGGGAGGATAGAGAAGATTATTAGCATGGCCCCTGCACAAGGATGACATGCAAATTCATAAAGCATTCCAAATTTTTTTAAATGGTGAAACAGGTAATTCTATGTTATATATGATATACCACATTAAATATGTATATAATAAAAGACAAAAATAAATCATAATTTCTTCAAGGTACCCTGAAAATAGAGCAAAATGAAAATCAATCTTAATTTCAAGGGACTGATATTTGAGTCATTAATGAAGGAAATGTCCTAACTCCCCTTAAACATGTTTAAAGTAAAAATTATGACATTTTCCCATGGAATGTATAATATATGCAGATGAAATACACATGACAATGGTAACAGAGAATGCTGATGGAAAGAGAGGGGAAGGGGACTATACAATTTTAACATTTCTACATTTTACCTAAAATGGTATATATATTTTTTTAAGATTTTACTTATTTATTTGACAGAGAGAGAGCAAGAGCACAAGCAGGGGGAGCAGCAGAGGGAGAGGGAGAAGCAGGCTCCCTGCTGAGCAGGGAGCCCAATGCAGGGCTTGATCCCAGGACCCTGAGATCATGACCTGAGCCAAAGGCAGATGCTTAACCAACTGAGCCACCCAGGCACACCTAAAATGGTATAATATTAACTCTAAATAGACCATATAAATTAAGGATGTATACTGCAATACCTAGAAAAAACACTAAAAAATGGAAAAGGTCTTCATAGATAAATTTAAATGGAATTCCAAAAATTAAGATAATCCAAGTAAGACAGGAAAATAGAATGGTAGCCATAAATCCAGTCACATCACTAATATATTAAACGTTAACAGATCTTACTGAAATTGCATATTGGTGAGGGTACACAAATCCATGACAGTACTAAAAAGCACTGAATTGCTTATCACAAAAGGGTGACTATTAGGACATGGGAATTGTATCTCAGTAAAGCTGTTATTAAAGAAAAGAAGGCAAACCAAAAAACATAATAAACACTACAATTAAAGATATAGATTATGAGAATGATTTAAAAAGTACAACCCACCTACATGCTGGCTACAAAAGACATGTTTTCAATATGAACAGTCAGTTGGAAAAGTGCATATTGTGCACACTGTAAGCATAAGACACTTGAGAGTCTTTAGAGTTAACATTACGCAACTTGTCCAAGATCATACAGCTACAAAATGGCAGAGCAAGAATTCTAACTCTGATTCCAGACTGTGCTAGTAAGTGCAAGGGGACAGTAAGGAGGGAGAGAAGGAAAGCCTGAGTATAAATCCAAGCTATTTTAACTTTAAGGATAGGGTACGAAATCCCAATCTCATCAAATCACAGATTTTTTTTTTTTTTTTTTTTAGTTAAATCCCGGATTCTTAACCTTCCTATTGAAGACCAAACCCTCAATCCTCAATGTACTGCCTTGTCTACACCCTTAAAAAACTCACTAGAAATAAAGGGAAATTTCTCCTTCTCAAGTTACCCATGTTAGAGCATTTCTACTCAACATCATCTTCAAATTCTTAAACAAATATTCTAGAAGCTAACCTCTAATCCAACATCCAGGAAAAGAAACGTGTTCTGAAACATTTCAAAGGACATTCTGTTATGATGATGGTTTTATGAAATTACTTGCATAGGTTTTCATAAATTCTGCTGAACATGACATTTAAGAGTCACAATTACAAATATATTATAAACTGTCAGAAGGAAAGAGTCACTGAACTTTCTCCTCCAAATCCACAGAGACCAGATTAATTCAACATAAGTATATCACAGAGCAGTAAAGGTATCCATGTCTACTGTACAGCTCTACCAGCTCACTCACAGCAAATCCAAGTGAAGACAGTTACTCTGATTGGTGTCCAAGATCAAAAGATCAGAAAAACAAAGATAATTGTTTTTAGACCTTAAAAATGGCACACCAATAGCAAAAAGATAAAAGCCTCCAAAAGCAAAAATAGGTACCCGCCAAAGCTATCATTTCAAAAACCAAAACAGAAAACACTAACAATTTGGTCTAGGTTCAATTCATCTTTGAAGCAGTTTGGAACATTTACTGAGTTGGGAATTTCTAACTTTTGTTAGAAACTACACTCTCATTTACTAGCTATGTGACACTGGTTAAAGCCTTTATTTCTGAGATTATTCTCTCTTCTTAAAACCAAGGATGACGATAATACGTCACAGATTGTCAGGAAGATAAAGTAAGAATGGTGCTAGTGATATCTGAAGGTTGGCATTCCATACCTATTTTTAAGAGCCTGGGGGAAGGCAAGAAATATTCTGTGCCACTTGTTTTCTTATAAACAAAACCCTACTTCGGCAAATAAGAGTACCCTACATTACAAATCAATAGCAAAATTCTAACACACACACTCACTCCAGATGGATAAAAATATGGTTGCAGTGGTACAGTGGCGGCCTCCAGGGAATTAAATGGGGTTTGAGGTCAGAGTTGCACAGATGAAGGAAACCTTCTCTTTCAACATACACGTGACTTAAATTTAAGATTTTACATTCTTGAAAAGTTTTAATTTTAACATAATAAAACCAGAGATTTGTGTCCAAAACGTGAATTCTACTAATGTTAAGAAAACATATATAGTTAAAACTGTATCTACAAAATATATTAGTAACATTTCTCAACTTTTTTTTTTCTTAAGAGAGAGAGACAAAGCGTGCGGGGGAGGGGGTAAGGTGGTGGCGGTGGCAAAGGGAGAGGGGGAGAGAGAGGGGCAAGCAGAGAGAGGGAGAGAGAGAGAGAATCTTAAGCAGGCTCCATGCCCAGCTGGGAGCTAGGGACAGGGCTCAACCTCACAAGCCAGAGATCATGACCTAAACCAAAAGCAAGAGTCAGATGCTTTATCAACTAAGCCACCCAGGCACCCCCTATTTCTCAACATTTTTTTTTTTTTTAAAGATTTTATTTATTTGACAGAGAGAGACACAGCGAGAGAGGGAACACAAGCAGGGGGAGTGGGAAAAGGAGAAGCAGGCTTCCCACCAAGCAGGGAGCCCGATGCAGGGCTCGATCCCACGACCCCGGGATCATGACCTGAGCCGAAGGCAGACGCTTAACGACTGAGCCACCCAGGCGCCCCTCTCAACATTCTTAAGCCATAATATAAATCAATTTCAACAGTCATGCACAAAACACTTCTGTGAATTACCAAGATCACAGCCCACATAGATAAAATCAGAGTTATATACAATTCTGGATTTGCAAGGTCTAAGCCTCTCCTTTATTCGCCTACTCAAAAAAAAAAAAGTTTTTACAACTACAAGTGAATAGGGTATCATATGAATCCCTTTAAATTTACTTTACACTATCTTAACAAAAATATTGTTAAATGAAACCACTGGCCAACTTGCTAACTTGAATTTTAGTATTAGTTATGAACCACTTACAACATACTTTAATAACACACTATGGATTACAACATCATAACTGACAAGAAACAACCTAGCAAAATGCCGTCTTCCAGTTTGTACCCACGCCACAGTCATTTTCCTACAATCTGATCACCTGCTGCCTATATGATAACAAAGTGGGTTTCTATGGTTTCTAAGGTTTCTATGGGCTTTGGCCAAGTTGGCTACAGTTACTTTGGTCTTTTTTGCCTTCTCCTTGAACGTTCTCTCTTTCCAACTTTGCCAATTAGAACACAGTGTTTTGTTCTTCCCCCAAATTCTCTGTACCCAAAAGTCAGCCAACCTGGGTCAAGGCCTGACTGTTACTAGCAGATTGTGACTACTGGTAGGTCACTGCACCTGAGTCACTGTTTTCCTTTTGTTATACAGAGTTAATAATATCCAGCTTCAGCGGTTGCATGGAAGAAAGCAATCATGCGTCAAAGTAGTTGGTAAACTACAGTATTATGCACATGTATATAGCAGTATAATCCTACCAAACTATTAATCTCAACAGGAAAAAAATCTAAACTCAGAAAATACACATGAAAACTATCAGATTAGGGGCACCTGGGCTCAGTCGTTAAGCGTCTGCCTTCGGCTCAGGTCATGATCCCAGGGTCCTGAGATCGAGCCCCGCATCGGGCTCCCTGCTCTGCGGGAAGCCTGCTTCTCCCTCCCCCACTCCCCCTGCTTGTGTTCCCTCTCTCACGGTCTCTATCAAATAAATAAATGAAATCTTTGGGGAAAAAAAAAAGTTTATCTTTGTAGGTGAAATTTATAAGGCTGCAACTGTCAAATCAAAGAACATATACATTTTAAATTTTGATAGATACCAGCAAATTTCTGGCACACCACTCCCCCCGCAAAAAAAAAAAACCCTAAAATAATTTACACGCCCAAGAACAAGACAACGTTCCTGTATACGTGCCTATACTGGATGTTACAGCTATTTTTTTAAATTTTTGGTTAATCCAATGGATAGAAAAATCACACCTCATTACTGTTATATTCCTTATCCTGTTTAAAAGTGTCCAGTGAAAGGAGATAAAAGAATACAATCATCAAACCTAACATGCTTGCTATAGTCCTCCTCTATACCCTCAATGCTGAGCACTGTGGATAGAACTCACCATCTATATGCATATACACACATATCTTTTAAATACATGAGTAAGACCCAAACATGAAACACAAGTTATTTAATAAAACAAATTTCTCATACAGCTAATTACTATAATTTATAATGCTGTGCATCACTTAAACATAAAATAGTATGAAAATGTGTGTGTGTGTGTGTGTGTAAGCTAGAAAAGTAACTAGGAACACTAAGAAATCTCCTTAAACCAATACCTCCCCTTTCCAGGAACAGGTAATTTTACTCTCCAAAGCTCTTGGAATTTCTTTTCTTCATTCTAACCGTCCTCATAGCCTCCTAACACTCTGCTTTTACTGCTCAGAATACAAGGAACCCAGAGAGGAAATACAGAATGAAAAACAGTCTGCAAATAAAAATCTGTTGGCTCAGCACATTAAAATTACTTAAATTTCTTCACGAGGGTTATTTGTAGCTTTGTCTTTTCCATGATTTAAGCAAAAACAAGGTATGATGTTGTTGAAATCAGGTATAGTACAGACTCTGTGTAATCTGATCCCATTGCATGTAAATTAAGGATAAAGAACAGTTATCACTTGCACCCACAAATACACTCCCCACACAGCCCCAAGTGAAGGCTGTTATTTAAAAAAAAGGCGAAGGCGCCTGGGTGGCTCAGTCGTTAAGCGTCTGCCTTCGGCTCAGGTCATGATCCCAGGGTCCTGGGATCGAACCCCGCATCAGGTTCCCTGCTTGGCAGGAAGCCTGCTTCTCCCTCTCCCTCTCCCCCTGCTTGTGTTCCCTCTCTCGCTGCGTGTCTCTCTGTCAAATAAAAATATAAATCTTTAAAAAAAAAAAAAAGAATTAGTCTTGTAAAGAAAACTTATAAACTTTAGTATGCTTTTATATTTGGTTTATTGTATACTTTTTTTTTTAAGATTTTTATTTATTTATTTGAGAGAGAAAGATAGCTAGAAAGAGCACACAAGTGGGGAGGAGAGGGAGAGCGGGGAGGAGAGGGAGATGCAGGCTCCCTAGTGAGCAGGGAGCCTGATGTGGGACTTGATCCCAGGACCCTGGGATCATGACCTGAGCCGAAGGCAGACACTTAACCTACTGAGCCACCCAGGTGCCCCTATTGTATACTTTCTAATGCAAATATATAGCAAAAATTCAGGGGGGAAAAAAAATCCAGAAATTATTCATAGTTGTTAACTAAAAACAACAATGTATTACATAAAGCACAACTAGTTTTTCTACAAACAAAATAAATATGCGGGTCTTTGAATAGCAGTTGAAAAAAAAAACAGAACTGGGGTGCCTAGGTGGCACAGTCGGTTGGTTAAGTGGCCAACTCTTGGCTTCGGCTCAGGTCGTGATCTCAGGGTTGTGAGATCGAGCCCCACGTTGGGCTCCACACTCAGCGAGAAGTCTGCTTAAGATTCTCTCCCCCTCTCTTTCTTCTCTAAAATAAATAAATTTTTTAAAAAAAGGAACTAAAAATAAATGGAAAAAAAAATCTCCGTATTTGATTAAATCTCAAACATAGGATATGGTATTACAATAAAGGGAACTCCACAGTATTCAACTTTAAAAAAAAAATCCATTTCCTCCTTGCTAAGTCATCATCATCAACATGGTAATCATGATGGTAATCACCATCAACATGATAATCTATCAACATGGTAATCCATCTACCACTACATTGGAAATTAGATATCTAAGAATATACTCAGTTTGCGATAGTAACTATTGAATTTCAATGGCTGGTCACCAACCACACAATGTTTATATGGCCTAACAAAATCAGTAGGCAATCTCATTTCAATGCTGTTGTCTTTTGTTTTTTTTGTTTTTTAATGGAACTTACCACCTATAACCAGACATTCCAAAAGGAGCATTTATTTATTTTTTTCAAAAGGAGCATTTTAAATGGCACACTCCAATGGGAAAAGATTTTAATGCTAGGAAAATTATATCCCAAAAGGAATCTTGCCATGATGCACAAAAACCAAGAGGCTAGTTATCACTAGCTGCATATTTTCAGTGAGCCAAAACACAGCAATACTGCTTTTTAGCTATAAAACAGTCCGTTTTGTGATAGGAGAAAGTTTCCTTGCATGTTGTTTTATAATTCTTAACCTAATGATTATTTAATCTTTCCATAACATTCATTGAATCCACTATGTTGAAATCATTAGACTATAAAACAAAAGGGAAAGAAAGACTGACAAGGCCAAGTCTTGTCTCAAGAGGAAATTAATATACAGAAATAATTTTAACCTAATATGTAAAGTAGTATATCAAATAAGAAATCTTAAAAAAAAAAAATGCTCTAGAAAACAGAGCAAAGACATTACTTCTCACCAGAGGGATATGGAAACTACTCTGGTAGAAGTAACATGTGAACTGTGCCTTTCAGGAGAGGCAATCGTTAGAAATGTGGGAGAGGACAAGTGTGCCCCTTGGGCAAAGAAACACAAAAAGGATGGAACACGAAAGAACCAGCCACGTTTGAGAACAGCACGGTGTTCTGGCTTGGCTGACGCATAGCTCTGAGAAAGGGAAATGGAGGAGAGGAGATCAGAAAGAAAATTCATGAGAAAGGAAGGTAATCATTCATATATTCTGCACTCTTTTAACATGAAACCCCTGATGGAAATAATCTTCATTTAAGGAAAACGTGAACTTCTTCGTAATATTTTCTTCCCTGAATTGAAGTCATTTGTGTACTTGAATTATCTGACCTTACTGTGAGCCCCTCATGAGCAGAACACACATCTGATTCATTTTTATACCCTTCTCAAATACCTTAAACATAGATACCAAACAACCACTTTTTAATGACTAAATGAATGCATGAATGAACATAATGGCCATGTCATTTAACTTCTCTTAGACTCAGAGAAGTTAATACCAGGAATTGGCAAATTTCTACTACAAAGGGCCATGCAGTAAATATTTTAGGCTTTGCAGGTTACTTGATCTCTGTTACAACTACACAGTTCTGCTGTTACAGAGCAAAAGGAGCCACTGACAACATGTAAATGCATGGGCTTGACTTTGTGCCAATAAAATTTAACTTACAAAAATCGGTGGCAGGCTGCATTTGGGTCACGGGCCATGGTTTAGAGACGTCTCCTCTATACAACTTAAATTCAGTACCTTATATTATACAGGCACATTCATACGTGTTATAGTCAAATCACCTTCTGACATAATGACAGAACACAGCCAAAATTTCAAACAAGACGATAACGAAAAAGAATATAAGTGGAAAAGCGTGATTATACCACACACAACCTGGCAAATCTGGACCTTGGGCTGCTTCCACCCAATCTGCCCTCTCCAGACACTTACTACCATTAGCTTTGTCACCTTACATCACAATTTCTGTAGGCCTCAGTTTCATCTTTAGGCCCTAGTTTTTAATCTTCCACCTGGTTAAAATAGATCGTTCTAAACTAGAACTCTTGGTTCTTAAAAACTGTCCAAGTTAAATTTATGGATTTTAAGTGGAAATATCTAGAAAATTACATTCATAATTTTGAATCCATGAAAGAACAAAACACAAGCATTTCACAGAAACAAAGTATAACACATTAGAATAATAAATTAAGATAACACCTGGGATAACTGATGTAATCGGCTTCTCGAAACATTCAAAATCCTATTTTAGCACCTGAAAACTAAGGTTTCAGTACCATCTTGAATGTAGTTATAAATACACCTGGGAAATCAGTTCAATTCACCCAATCAGGGTGGTAATATCTGAGACTCAAATCATGCATAAATCTTTTCCCAAAATAGAGAAGGCAGTAAGATTTGATCTTCAATGCCACAATATGCAATGAAAAGAGAAATAATGCTCTTGTATAAAATAAATCACTGGACTCCTTGACACAGGTAGCTACAAATCTAAAGAGCTGAATTTTTTAGAAGTCCATAAAATATATAACAAACTTGGTGTCATTCATTAGATATAAAGATGATTTTATAACTTTTCCACTTTTATTCTTCAAACCAAGACCCGGGTTACAGAATAAAACCTCTTCACTTTTCACAAATAATTTTCAAAGAACTGACAGGTCAATTAAAATTCTGTAATTCAGGGGCGCCTGGGTGGCTCAGTGGGTTAAGCACCTGCCTTCAGCTCAGGTCATGATCCCAGGGTCCTGGGATCAGCATCTTGTCAGGCTCCCTGCTCAGGAGGGAGTCTGCTTCTCCCTCTCCCTCTGCCCCCCCCACACCCCCTTGCTCGTGTTCTCTCTCTCTCTCTCTCTCAAATAAATAAATAAAATCTTTTTTAAAATATCTGTAATTCATCACTACCCACAGTTACAAAAGTAACACCATTATACTGCTTTCTGAAATATAAGTTAACAGATTCTGGTTCATTACTAACTTACCAGACATTTGGCAAATTCTTTGTTTTCTGAAAGAAATCCATAACCTGGATGTACCTTAGAAATGAAAACAAAAAGCACTTTCAATTTTATCATATCACAAAACCTTTATAAGCAACATAGAGAGTGCACTCATGTGTTTATATTTTAAGGGCCTGGAGTCAGGTTACTTCTCCTACATACTGACAGTTGCAACCCACATTCCTGAGTACAGACCCAAATTCCAAGAAACTGCCTAATATTCACTTACAGCACACCACCTTTGTCCTAACCGTAAACAGGACCATTGACCTACAACACAACCTATTTCAGCACAACCTGAACTCTATTTCAACACAACCTGAACTCTCCCTACTTTTTCTGAGGCTAATTTTGGCCCTAAGCCAAATTTTTTAATAGTTAGTGGGCCAAAGAACAAGGTTAAAAGAAACCATTTGTGAGATAGATGAAAAACTCCTAATTCCCCTTTCTTTAGAGTCCCGGGAAATGCTGCTTTCCAAAAATCTGGCTAAGCCAACTAACATATTTTATTCCTGACCACATGAATACACTCAGCCACCCAATGAGCAGTGTTGGTCAAAACTAAAGTCGAAATCTGGTTTTACTTTTTCTTTATACACTGAATTTTTTTCTTCTAACATGTACTCTTTTTTCCCTCCTTGGCCCACTTAACCATTCATAATCACTTTATGCTATCCTCTCACAAACCATGTTGCTATGATTTAAGTTCTATCATCCTGGCCTATCACACTGTTCAAACACATTTAGCCTATTATCAATCAAGACTGAACATATTTCCAGGAAAACAATTCTACTGTAAGGAAAGCCAAATTTCGCAAGGAGCCAATATCATAATCTAGAAGTAGCTACACATCTGAGATTTTTAAATGTTTTATGAACCTGGTACAGAATTTAAACAACTGCATCACAGGTAAAGAGTTTCACTCCACCAATTGCGTTTTATAGAAACATTTAACAAAAGATTGTATTCTGACAAGCTATCGTTAAAGAGTTAAGAGTTTTACCTTCATTAACTCTGATAATAAACTGTAAACATCTATAATATGGGTTCATGAATTCAGTTATTTATTTAAACATGTATCTTAACTAAAACATTTCTTTCACAAGACATGTGAACACTAATTGAAGTACTCCAGGCTAATTGCTGGTGTTGGCTGTTTCCATCCAATTTCAGAGATAACTCTGCATAGTTTGCAACATTATATATAATTAGTTCTCTGATCTATAAAACACACACACACACACACGGCACCAATAATACACAATTCCTGATGTCAGAAACCAGATTCTTCCCTGGATTCCACCCCATTCAAACAGAATTGGAGATGGGAAGAATTACTGATTTCTCCCTGTAAGTTAAGTGTATTCTACTGACATTATCAAACTAAAATTATCATCAATTGCATAGTTTTTATTTCTGGAAGTGTAACCAGGTATACGTAATTTTTAAATGAATAAAACAATTTAAACAAGAATCTTTTGGATCCTATAACAGATTTTTTTAATGTTCTTATTGCACTGAAAGGGTTAATACTCAAAACTAATTGGTATTTCTTTTCTTTTTTTTTTTTCCTAACAAATTTGGAAATGAACTGAAACTGCTCCCTGGTGTGAAAGCTGAATCCAACAGCCACCTGCAGGATCAGCGACCAACACTGCCAGATGCTACAAAGCCTTTGATTTCCAGTAGCGAATTCGGCCACATTTAACTCATGTGACATGAACTAACAGCAACAGCATTTTCAATCATTCTTTTTTTTTTTTTTTTCTGAATACAAACTCTAGCTTTCTGCTCACTATATATGAAACAGCTGCAGTAGATAGATTCATTCAGACTCACAGCTTGGGCCCTGGTTTTCTTAATGGCTTCCATGATGGCATCCATGTTGAGGTAGCTTTTACTGGTGGGAGCTGGGCCAACACAAACAGCCTCATCCGCCATTTTCACATGAACCTGAAGAGACAAATCTCTGCATTAACAGATGCTCCCAGCAAAAAGAACTCCCATCATTCGTGAATACACACAAAATTGCAAATGTGATTTTTTCCCTTATTTAAGTAGTCAGGTCTTTTTGAAAGTGCACTAAAAAAAGAATAGTGTAACATATCAGCTCAGGAACTATATTAACCATGACTTTCATTTATTACAAGCCTAATCATTGTCTAGCCAGAGAACTTCCATAATATTCCCTACTAATTTGATTAAATAAAACCCCTGCAAACGTTGGCCCCCTATTCAGTTCATCTACATATAAATCTTATATCAAAAACTACCCTGTTACATGTAGCCAGTAGTCCAATATTTTCCTAACAAGCACTCATGCCCAGTTCTAAGCAAGCTCCCCAGGAAGTGGGGATAATTAGAGAAACTGAATGAAGGGATGCAGTGAGTGTCCCTGCACAGCATCAGGTCAGCACCAGGCACAAATTAAAGTCCAGAACTAAAGACTTCAATATCAACGAGCCAGAAAATCTTGACAATCATTTAAATACTCTCACATTTGATCCTCATCCATTTTTACCTTTACTCCTAGAAGAGCTGATATATGCATTAATTCTAAGTCTACTCAAAACTTAGAAATATATGCTCCATTTTTAAGACTACTCACTGTACAACCTTTTTACACCAATATTTTTGCTTGAGGTGAGGCATTCACTACTGAAAAGAGTAACTTATTTCTGAAAGAAACCATTCTTTTAAAATGATAAAAGGATTCATATATCTTTGAAATGGCTTTCCCTAACAGTTTTCCAGTTTAAGGAACTTCCAATCCATTTAAATTTATTTTACAAGGCAGACATAAAAACTAGAACACCTACATCTACCTGGACTTTTATGACCCCACCCCCCGCCCAAAGTCCAAGATGGAAAATACTTTTGAGTATTGCTAAGTTCTATTCTTCAGCCATGAATTTTTAAGAAGCACGTTGTTTTAAATGACATCTATAAAAAATAAAACCAATTAAGTCATCTTTTAGAAAGCTGAGTTATCTTTATCAATTCAATACTTTCCAATAAGTAAAAAAATTATATCATGCCCAAGAGATTTACACATCAATATTTTAATGGAAAATACTCAAATATATACACTCTGTAGTATCTTTAATAATGTCCCCTGTGAAGAAAAGCAGCCAGGCTCACAAAGGGATCCTAAATATTCCCATGTTCAAAGCAAGGCTCTCCTTGTGGTTATTTCTGCCTTGCTTCCCCCCTCCCCCACCCCACCCCGTCTCAAGTTGTTCTTCCCCTCAGGCCAGAATGCTCCTCCTCTTCTGCCCCTGCCCAGTGCAACTTTGTTATTGTAACTGTGGCTTTCTTTCTATAAGAAAGAAACTGAACACTGAGCAATCCTTTAAAAAGAATGCATTAGCCAGGTGGGGATAAAGTAAAGTTAAATCCACATTTATTCTGTGTATTTTATTCACCTCCAAGTACTACCTACTACTAAAGATGCCCAAGTTTCACTTCTACCACTGGGTCTTTCCCAGGTACTTCAGCTTCAGATGAATCTCCTTTAATCTGAACTCTGATAGTACTTAGTGCAAATTTTGGCATTTAATTGCATCCTGCCTAGCAACGTTATTCTGACTGCTTTATAGATTGTTACAATTCAGACACTCTCCTCCACCAGATTAGAAGGTCCTGAAAGGCAGAGGTTAGGTCTTAAATTCCTTTTTAAATCACTCCCAGCACAATGTTATGTGTTAAAAGCTCATTAACTCATAGATACACATGGATGGCAGTTTATTTAATAACTTTCATTGTTAAGCCGTTGTCTTTTTTTTTTTTAAGATTTTATTTATTTTACAGAGAATGAGAGAGAGCACAAGTAGGGAAAGCAGCAGAGGGAGAGGGAGAAGCAGGCTCCCCGTTGAGCAGGGAGCCCAACGCGGGGCTCGATCCCAGGACCCTGGGATCATGACCTGAGCCGAAGGCAGACGCTTAAAGGACTGAGCCACCCAGGCGCCCCTAAGCCATTGTCTTTGAGGTGAAAGTCTAACGCAAATTAAAAATTCTCCAATCTTAGCAATACATATGGGAACTGAAGGTTGTATGGGAAGAAATTAAAAGACACATACACACATATGTGTGTATATTTATATGTCCAAAATTTCTGTAATAAACATGCATCAAAAAGAGGAGAATCTAAATAGTATTTTGACTAGTATTTTTTTTTTTTAAAGGTTTTATTTATTTATTTGACAGAGAGAGAGATAGCGAGAGCAGGAACACAAGCAGGGGGAGTGGGAGAGGGAGAAGCAGGCTTCCTGCTGAGCAGGGAGCCCGATGCGGGGTTCGATCCCAGGACCCCGGGATCATGCTGAGCCACCCAGGCGCCCCTTGACTAGTCTGTCTTTCTAAATACACTTTGTAACCATACGGCATATATAATTTTGCATCCTTTTGTTTTATAACTAACATCTTAATAGACATGTTTCCTGTTATTACGAACTGTAAACATACTGAGAATCTAGCTCAGAGCCTAACATATTTTAGCAGATGATCAATACTGTTCAAACAAACATTCAAATAAATTAATGTCAAAAGCAGGTCAAAACTGCTTACGGGCTTTACAAAGAAAAGGCAAAACATGCTGTTTCTAATGGTTGACTGGTTTCTTTTATTTCTCAGAAACAAACCTTTCTTTAGGGTAGAAGCTATACTAGCATCTTAACAAACCCAAAGTGAAGCACAGGGTCAGTACTAGCAAAAATCCTGGGCAAAGCCATTTGAAAGAAAAAAAAAAAAACAACTAGAATCCTCTGCTGCCTTAGTTCCCAAAGAGATACTTACTTATGAGTCAATCAGGAAAGAAAAATTTTTTAAACTTTTGAAACTCAAATTTCAATTTTGTTGTTATTATTGTACTAAATGCCTGACGTTATTTCACTGGGTTATTAATACAAAACCAACTGCATTCAAGCCATGTAGGTGTTCTTCTGAAGAGCGACTTGAAAAATATAAATATAAATTCCTTTTTCTAATACTTCAGTAATATGTAACAATCATGGAAAAGTTTAAACTGAACTAATCAATTAACTAGGATATTGCTGGCTACAAGTTTCAAAAAGAAAAAAGATTTTACGTATGAAGTAGTCTTCAGAAGCTTTTCCAATAGGTTTTTGAAGATTAATTTCCTCAAGCTTTAAATTTTTGTTTTAGATTTTAGTTTTGGATTTTAAATTTTATTAAATAGAAAAAATTACTTGAACCAGCCTTTTATTTTCCAAATAATAATCTAACAAAGTGTTTTTCAACTGACAGAACTGAAAAAAATCATGTTCCTCACTGTCTTTCTTTAAATGACTTTAAACACTTGGATATAGACAGGTTAAAAATTGTGCGTGAATTTTAAAACTGAGTTAATGAAAATTTCATATTAGACCATTAGATGTGTCAGATATGCTTTAAAAAGATACTCTGTTTGGTCAAAAACATAGCACCTTAGTGTTGAAAAGTACACTAGACCGGATCTGAGTGAAAGCTTTTAAATACCTTCTAAACTAATACAGACTGAGAAAGGCAGGGAAGATAAGCAGCTTTGAAGATGTTTCCTCATGCTGGGAGGGTTTTGTTTTTGAAACCTATCACTCAAGAAGATTGTAGTTAGGTGGGCACTCTCTACGATGTTCACGAATACTTGAGTTTTCCCTGGGCTATCACCCAATGCGAACACAACACAAGGTGAGACACTGCCAGGATGAGAGAATGTAGATTAGATGTCCTCCTTGCCCTAGAAGAGCAATGCCTCATACAATCTGTCCAGGTTTCAGTATCCACCAGATCTAACCCAATTCTTTAACAAGCAAAAGTCACCCTTAAAGACTGAAAAGGTAAAGAAAAGCATGCCAACTGCATCAATCTTAATTTGAAAACCCGGGGGGAAAAGCCATTTTTTTTTTAAAGATTTTATTTATTTTTTTTGAACTAAACTCTACACCCAACATGGGGCTTGAACTCACAACCCCAACAACAAGAGTCACACACTTCAACCAACTGAGCCAGCCAGGCACCCCCAGAAAAATCATTTTTAAAAACCAGATAAAATCCTATTTCTAAGAGGGGGGAAAAAAGAACCTTTCTCTCTATTCTATACGATGTATCTAAAGAGACTTAGACAAATGTCAACAGACTAGCATTCTGGCATATCCTTCTAGGAAGGCAATTCATTTCTAGAAAATAATTATTTTTCAGGGGCACCTGAGTTGGTCAGTCAGTTAAGCATCTGCTTTAGGCTCAGGTCATGATCCCAGGGTCCTGGGCAGGGAGCCTGCTTCTCCCTCTCCCACTCCCCTTGCTTGTGCACTCACTCGCTCTCTATCAAATAAATAAAATCTTTTTAAAAAAATGATTTTTCAAAATCAGTAAATACTATATTTGCTTTGAATCCATTTTGTAAAACTGTATGTGTAGCACCATGACACATTTATTTGTGATTTTTGGATGGCAGAGTTAGTGACTTTACTATTTTTCTTCTGTTATAACTTACATAATTTTCAAATGGTAAAATTAAAAGTTACAGGGAAAAGAGAATGGGTTTTTTCTAGTTGCAAAACTCTCAATCTATTTTCTAAAATCCTGTTTTCCCAGTGTAGAGGTTCCTCAAAAAGTTAAAAATAGAGCTACACTACGATCAAGCAATTGCACTACTAGGTATTTCCAAAGAATACAAACATAGTGATTTGAAGGGGCACACGCATCCCAATGTTTATAGCAGCAATGTCCACAAAAGCCAAACTATGGAAAGAGCCCAGATGTCCATCAACAGATGAATGGATAAAGATGATGTGGTGTGTGTGTATGTACGTGTGTGTACACACACACACACACACACACACACACAGAGGAATATTACTCAGCCATCAAGAATGAAATCTTGCCATTTGCAAGGACGTGGATAGAACTAGAGGGTGTTATGCTAAGCAAAGTCAGTCAGTCAGAAAAAGAAATAC